TGGACAAATCTTAGGGCACACACCATAAGAAAGTGACACATGTAGGGACACCTAATCACCATGTGATTTTCATGTGGAAAATAAATATTATTTTATTGTTTTGTCTCTTATTTCCCTTTATGCCCTTGAACAATTTGGAAAATTCCAACTTTGTCCTCCCCTTCTAATTTTGGCCGAATTATTGCTCTTAATATTGGGAAAAATATGACTCATCCAATAATCAGTGCAATCCACTGATTATTGGTGTATTTCCGGTCCGATTTTCCAACAATCCTGTCCAATTTACTGTCACAAAATTTCGATTTCAACACCTCATTAAATTCCCCTCATTCCAAGGGTAATCCATGATTTTTCTCAAGTTTTATCTCCCTCTATAATTTTCTAAATTTTATTCTGCCAAAAATCACTATTCTACTGATAATAATTCGGTAATAAATATTCTTTAAGCTAACCTCTGTACATCCAAAGGTGGGAAATAATTTTATAAATTAGGATAATATGTCACATAATTTATCCATATTTTTCCTTGAATTTTTGAGGCCTCTATATATTTTAAATAATGGAAATTGGCTAATTTTCCTTAATTAACCAAAAATTCCAATAATTACAAATAATTTCCTGATAAATTATTTTTAATCTCATATTCATCTTCTAAGCCTCAAACATTATTCTGTACCCTCCTTTCTATTTTTCATGATTTTCTGGGAATTTTCAGGAAATTTGGACATTATTTCCAATACTGCCCTTTCTTAACTGATCTTTTCAGAAATGACCGTTATGTCCCTATCCTGATTTTTCCTCATAACCTGGATCCTCTACCAGTCTACTATACTACTTGGCCTTAGTCAGTCACAAATCATTCATCAGTTAGAATAAAATTATCAGGGTGTGACATTAAACGGAAAAAATATGAAAATACAATGAAATATATTGTAGAAATAATACTTAGGGTTGGGCGCTTGTGGCTTACATAGAGTTGTGGATCAACGTAATGACTCCCAAAATTAAATTTAAATCAAATTACTGCAGAACTTCAATAGACAGGAGCATGAATCGTTTAAAACGATATATAGAACGGTTTGCTATGGAGAGACATCACGTATGTGTTTACGTTTTCACTAGTTAAAATGTAGCAAAAGTAGGTGATGGTTAATATAAATAGCCATAATATTTTTTTACAAGTACGTGATGGTTAGAAATGTGACCATCACATATTGTTTAGAGTAATCTTTGCCTTGTGATAGGTAGCTATGTTTCTTTTTGACTATCACCTATCCAATGACATATTTTAAAATCTGTAGTAGTAACTTGGGAGTGCTAAGCATGAGTTTTTGTCAAACAAAATAGTCAAACTTATCACCTTTTAATGGTAGGCCAACATTGTTATATTTTGTAAACTTCTTGGGCCACATTACTCCAAAAAGAATTTTTAGATACCACAGCTCCTCAACAAAAAACTCTAAGTCAAAATTGGACCTTAACACAAGATAATATAACATGCAATTTTTAACATTATACCTAATAAATTTGCAAGCTTAAACTTACGTCTCAATAACATCTTTAGTTTTGTCTTTTAGCACTCCAAACAAGGAGCAGAACCAATAGATAATATTTTCATGGGGCAATCCAATTGTCCCAAAATTGAAATAAATCAACCCATTTGATCTATAATAATTTTCTTTAATCAAATAACTAAAAGAATCGAATAAAATCACAAGGAAGAAAGAATAGGAAACTCACAATGTAAAGATGGAGAAAAATTGAAAAATCACACACTTCAACGGCAAGAACAACCACGAATGGCAGAAGACGGCAAAGCAATGGTGGAATAAGATGGACAATGATTGGATTTTGCTAGAAATAGCTGAGGAGGAAGTTCTGAGCAGTAGGGCAAAGAAAAGGGCACCACAACGAAACTGTGAACAAATGAGCGTATCGGGCAATAGAGGTTTCAAATTTAAAATGAGTTTTTATGGCATTATCCAAGTAACTGCCATTAAAAAGCTTTACCATATTGTTTCCCACAATAATTGTAGTTAAAGTACTAGATTGTTTTCATAAACACCTTGGTAAGTCCAAGCATTTACTGAATTATTTTATTGGAGGTGAGGACTTTTTTATAGCGGTTATTCTTATAACCATCATAAAAAGTGGTATTATACTATAATATATTTACAAAAATAACACTGTCTTTTTTTTTTTTACATGTTTTCTCTTATAACTGACGTGGATTGACAAAGTTTAAAGTTTTCTTTGTGTAGTGTACCCATGAAATTTGAGGGAGCAATAATAGTTCTCACGTACTCGTATAAAACTTGAGAGATGTAATAGACTGAAAATCTCAAAGGTGTTTTGGAGATTAAATGTAGGTTTGTAGAGGTCGAGCCAAGATAAATTACAATTTGCATATTCTCTCCTCTTATCTCCTTATATTTCTAACTCATCATTTTTACATTTTTGTTTGAGCTTTTGTTATTCATTGTTTTTTATGCTCAAAGTTTCTTATGGCTTTCACTATATTGTGAAAAAAATTTTAATTTTAATTATTACCCAATTTATCCTCCTGTTGAGTGATAAGCTATTCTAACATAATCCATTAGTTTTGGAGAATACTTATTCTTGGGTTTTTCAATCATGCTATGCCACCGATTGCTGCCATGATTCTTTGGGGGTGTTTGGATAGAAACCAAATCATGGTTTCAGAAGTGCTTTTACGGTTTACGAAGTAAATATGTGAAGGAATTTGTCTCATTTTGCAGAAAAGTGCTTCTGAAACCATAGTTTGGAGGTTGTCAAACACCCTCCTTGTCTCTTTGGCGGGCGAACAACTTTATTGTGATAATTCACAATACTGGTGGCGACACCCCTCTTGTGATCGTGCCCTCAATTTCTTTAACCCCAAATTCTTCTTCCTTCCATCGTGATTTTTTTCTGGTCCTTTTCTTTTCTTTTGTTTCTTTTTTTTTTTTTGTTGGGTTAGCAATGAAGTCTGCTCGCTAGGATATTAGTAATCCACATTAGCATCTCATCATAATCTTCAGTCAAACTTTGTCTCTTTAACAATGAAGCAATAAGGGTTAATAGTAATGTCAATTTTTTCCCTCTTTTGAGCATTCATTAGTAGTTTTGTGCTCAATAAAAATTTATAATGTTTGGGATACATTGAATAAAAACTTAACCCTAAAATTTATATTAAATTACACTATTTATTAATATTGCCTCCGGCCCTTAATATAAGAGCTAGTTGATTAATCTGAGTGGATTAAAAAAATTACTTATATTAGTTATTTATAATAAATAAATTTTATTTTTTTAAAAATATCCTTGCTGATCAAATGTATTCGCTAGAGTTATCATTATTACAAGAATTATCTTCAAAAATAAATAAATATAAGAGATAAAATAAATTACAGTCTTATATTTAAGATAAAAATAAAAGTTAAATGAGTTTTTATATTAATAACTAAAAATATTTTTTTAAAAAAATTATACTCTTCCGGTTCTTAATATAAGACCTATTTAACTAATTTGATTAGATTAAAGAAATTAGGTAAGTTAGTTAATTATAAGAAATATGAGACTTTTTTCCTAAAACACTATAATAATCTTTCTTCATACCCCCCTCTCTTCTACCTAATTATAGTTGAGGGAGTATCTATAAGGATAATTTAAAAAAAACTGATAAATATAAAAAATTAATCTTATATTTAAAATAAAAAACAACTCAATAATTAGATTTTATATTAAGAATTAAAAAAATATATATTAAGAATTGAAGAAATATATAAATAAACGCGGGGGGAAGAAAAGGCGTGGGGACATGAAGATGCTGAGGTGCCACTGAACCGCTGCAGGGACGGTGCGCCAATCATGCACCTGAACGCGTCCCAGGTCACTCCGTCACTATGCCCTTTTCACAACCACGCACCTCCCAAAACTTGGTCAAATTTCAATTTCTACCCGCCATTCTTTCAGTAATTACCGGGTCTTTCCCAATTCTCATCCCCATATAGGGGTGAGCAACAAACCCATTACCCGCTAGCCCGCTCATGACCCATGAAATTTTTGTCCATTTAAACCCGCCTAAACGGGCGGGCTTAAATGGGCGGGGTAGCCCATTAAACGGGTTGGGCTATGGGTAAGGTATTGGACTGCCCATACCCGCCCATTTAAGTTTTAAGTTTTTAAAAATATTTTTATTCTTCATTTAATTGATGATATTATTTCTCATTCATATTTTATCAAACCTTCATACTTGTCTAAGTTTTTATTTTATCCTTTAGGTAAAAGTTGGAACTTTCAAAGTTTATGAGACTTTATGATCGATGACTATTTTTATGATTTTATCAGACTTTAATTGTTTGCGAATCTAAGTGAGGTTGTGTGATTGAATATGGTTGATGTTATTTCATATTTGATTTGCTATTTGGCATGCAAAATTTATTAACAGCTTCATAAGGTTACATATATAAAATAATTATACTGAAAAAAAATTTAAAAAAATAAATGGGTTACCATAACCCGGTCAGTCCAAACGGGCTGCCCGTAACCCATTTAATATGGGCTAAATGGGCTACTACCGGGTTATGGGTTAGCCCATATCTATTTATGAATAAATGGGCGGGCTATGGGCTAACCTTCGGGTTAGCCCACCCCGCCCATTGCTCAGTCCTATTCCCATGTTCACTTCTTCCCCTGCACCACTCATTAACGCTCAAGTCAACGCAGTGAATGCAACCAAAGCGGTGACCTTTCTCTGTCTTTTGGTCATTTTATCACTTTCTTTTCTTTTTCCCCTCATCAACTTTTATCTCGTTTTTATTCCCTGGTGCAATATATTGTCATATGTTTTCTTGTACACGGAAGAGAAAATTTTTTCTCCCCCTTCTTGTTTCACAAGTGTAATTGGGTCAAAATCAGAACACCGAAAAGAGATTAGAGGTAGGAAGTGCGTGCGTGTCCGCGGTCTCAATATAAATTGTTGTAATGAGGACATGCGAGACCGGAGAACAGAAAAGCTGATTCCCAGGACCTTTTCTTCAAAATATGATCTTTTCTCACCGTTAAGTTAATAATCGACATCTCCCCCGCCAAAGCCTTCTTATATTTGTTGTATATCTTTCATTTTCCATCTTTCTTCTCTCTTATATATCGTTACTACTGGCGTTTCGTGGACTTGAAGTCCTTGGGTTTTGTCTTTAGATATCTGCGGCTTCTGCTCCATGAGCAGATTCTGCTTGTTATCAACCTGATCGGATTGGGGGCACTACCCTTATATTTCGGAATTGTGGATGAGAACTCTGAAACTGCGATTTTCTTCATACTTGGATTGAAGTTTGAGCCCTTGATTGGATATAATTTGCTGTATATACAAATACCCACAGTTTTTTTCCGGATTACATAGATTTGCGAAGCTTCCCTTTGTGGTTCTGGAGAATGGGCTGTTTCTCGTGTTTCGATTCGAAGGAGGATGAGCAGCTCAATCCTCGGCAAGAAATTGATGATCTTAAGCAAGGCCATCCAGCTGCTTCCTCTCACATTTCCAGATTGCCCTCTGGTTAGTCGGTCGATTTTTATTCGATTGTGTTATAAATTGATATCCTGCAATCACTTTTCTTCTATTTGTTCCACTATCTAATTGCTTGATCTGATCTGATTATGTGTGATTTATGTATCCTTACGAAGACATGTTGGCCACCGCGTTTTCCCCTTCTCTTTCTTCATATTTATTGATCTATATTTCTTTTAGGATGAATTGATCACTTGTTCCATGAATACTTTCTCAGAGATTCTACCCGATTCTGATGCTGTTGTAAAAGTTTTTTCTTTCCTTCTTTAGAAATTTTAGATCTCAATATCTCTCTGATTTCGGGTGGCTGATTCGAATATGCATAGTTGGTAATTTGGGATTGGGGATTTCACTTTTTTGATTAAACAAATAACTTACTCGGTAGCTCTAACATAATTCAATTTCAGTCTATTTATGGCATGGCTAAATTAAGTATACATTTAAAAGGCTTAATGAGTGAAGGTTAATAATGGTTGGTCCTAAGTGGATAGGATTGTAGCTTAATGGAATGGACTGGTTGAGTTCTTACTCTTCGATATACTATTGAATTCAAGATCTCACAGCCTCTATTTGGAGAAATTCTGGAGTTGAAGATACTTATGAATCTGCATTTCTTTGTTTTGGTGGCTTTTGCAGGAGCGGACAAGCTTCGCTCAAGGAGTAGTAATGGAGGATCCAAAAGGGAACTTCCCGCTCCTAAGGATGGGCCTGGCGTCCAAATTGCTGCCCAGACTTTCACTTTCCGTGAGCTTGCAGCTGCAACTAAAAATTTTAGGCCAGAATCCTTTATAGGGGAAGGTGGCTTTGGAAGAGTGTACAAAGGGCGTCTAGAAAGCACGGGTCAGGTAAATATCTCTATTATTGCTTGAGGTTGTAAAATCAAGGTAATAGTGTTACGTTCTTTCAGCTAGCCCAGCAACAACTCTTCAATATATTTCTTGCTGGAAGTATCCCGGATCCCATTGATAATGAGTGATTTGTTTGCTTGCATTAATCCCTTCGGGTCAGACGTTATCTCCATTTTGCTTACTCAGACAATCCCATGAATGCTGCTCTCTTCTCAATCTTACAGTATTGCTGTATGATTATTTGATATAGTTGCTTGATTTGAAAAATGTCATAATTTTATTGATCATTGTACAAATTGCATGAATTTATGTCCATATATACTACTCCACCGGTTCTTAATATAAGACCTGTTTAACTAATTTGATTAGATAAAGAAAGTTAGGTAAGTAAGTTAATTATAAGAAATATGATATGTTTTTCCTAAAACACCATAATCATCTTCCTTAATATCCCTCTTTCCTCTTTTACTTGATTATGGTTGAAAGAGTATTCATAGGGATAATTTAAGAAAAACTGATAAATATGAAAAATAGGTCTTATATTTAGGACAAAAATTAACTCAATAATTAAGTTATATATTAAGGACCGGAGGAGTACTTTGCAAGCTTTGAATTGTGTTTCTCATGGAGGAAATGTATATCTAGCCTTTGACACTCCTAATTTTGCATTTCCACTCCCCAAAAAACAGAAAAGAAAGAGAAAATAAATTTCGTGTTGAGGTGCAAAAATAGGAGTGTCAGACAAACAAGGCGAACCTTAATCACAAGTTTGATTTGTTTTTGTGTCCCTTAGGCATCTAGCATCTAGCGAGTTCTGACATCTTTTCTTCATCTTGACAGGTTGTTGCTGTTAAACAGTTAGATAGAAATGGCCTCCAGGGTAATCGCGAATTCCTAGTGGAGGTTCTCATGCTTAGTCTTCTACACCATCCTAACCTTGTCAATCTTATTGGTTACTGTGCTGATGGGGACCAACGTCTCCTTGTTTATGAATTTATGCCATTGGGATCATTGGAAGACCACCTTCATGGTATAATTGTTTAGCACCAATCTCTTTATTATATGATTAGAATTTCCCTGTTATGGTTGACAAATTGCTGTCATTTTGAGAGATCAGGCATACTTATTCTCCTTAAGATATATTTTGATATCCCAGACGATTCCAGTAAACATAGGATAATGAGAATCAATGTTGCCTTATGCAGTTACAGCTCATAGGCAGGATCATTTTTAGAAATGATTGGAAGTTTCGGCTTTCTGAGCAAAAACATTTGATTTAGATGTCGCAAAATCTAACATCATCAAAAAGATGTTTACCTGTTTTGGAACACGGAATATAACAGAGTTATCTAGAAGCAAATATCTGGACATGGCATTCTCTTGTACAGTAATATCCTTGTCAATGAGTGGACTTTTCTTGCTCGGTAACCTTGATCGAGTCCTTGTAGATCAATTTCCATAATCTACATTGCATGTTGGTTCTTTTCTCACATAGCCACTCTTAAGTGATGAGGAAACTCTGCTGTTGGCGGCTTTACTCTTTCAAGGGCCTTTTCTTCTGAAATTTCTGATGATGAATAAATACATGTCGGACTGTTTTCTAGTGTGGGAAAACCAACCTAAGTTATTTTACTGAATCTTAGTTACAATTTTCTGCACTTCACTCTCTAATTCATTATCATGAAAGCAGCTGTTAAGAATTTGTTGTGTTTTTCTATTTCAACTTTGTCATGGCCATTTCCTGTCCTAATATTGTTATCCATAGTTTTCGCTTATGAAGAAAATTTTCCTCTGTGCTTCTTTTCATAATGATTTTTGGTCAGTCACCGTAATGCTATAAAATTTTACCTAAGACTGTAGTTTGCAAAGGAAGACCGAGAAGAACGCTTAATGAGGTCATTGAACGAGACCTCTTAGTCAACAACATATCTAAGGACTGGGTTGTTGACAGAGCACAATGGCGTCATGTGATTCATGTAGCCGAACCCACCTAGTGGGATAAGGCTTGTTGTTGTTGTTGTTATATTGTAGTTTGCAAGTCATGACCACATATTTCACAATAAAACTATAAGAGATTTAAATTGTGACAATTTTGTGGTTTTCCTTCAGAACTTGCTTACTAGTTACTAGAAAAGCACTATGATAATCTTCTGTTGTTTCCTTCAAATACTTGCTCATTAGTTATTAGTAAGGCACTGATTTAACTTGGCCCAAAAAAAAAAAGCACTGATTCAGAGGTAGTCATAAATTGTAGTCGAAATTTGGTCCAAGATTTCTTTCTTTCTTTCTTTGTTTTGCCTTTTCTTTGGGGGATGGATTAGACTATTTTGTCTGTCTCATTTTTGTCCTCTCTCTGACCGTTATACCTGGTGGTATTTCTCGGTGAAGAGACTTCTAAAATTGTTTTAGTCTTCTCATTTCTCCGTTAACATGCTGGTGTGTGGAAATTGCTAATTGAATTTGAAACAGAAATTCGGGAACTTTGTATGTGAAACAAGCATGTACTTGAATTCCTGGCTAAAATAAGGCAGAATAGCATTACTCACTATATACTCATTGAGATCCTGCAACATCCAGTTGCCCGTCTTCTTATAACTATGAAAGGCTGGAGTAAAACTAGTGCCATCTATAAACTCCTTAGAGGGAGTGGGGCTGAAGTATAGTGCAAAGTTCATTTTGTAAATGGGGATGCTTGCATTTGCTTCT